CCCCCGAGCCATTCTCTCCCCCCCCCCGGCCGCGCGATCGATTGACATCTCCACGTGGAGAAACCCAAACCCGAAACAATGGACTTAAACCTGGCATCGGACACCGGAGGTGCAGTGGCATGTCCGGTGTGCACGCTGTACCTCCGCGAGGGCATAAGCCTGCAGCGTCACCTGGACACGCACCCGAAGGAGCAGGTGATCGAGGCCCTGATAAAGGCCAGCAGCACCTCCGCGTCCCCCCTGCCGACGCTCCCCTCGCCGTCCCCCTCGCAACTACCTCAGTCCTCGTCCCAGACGTCCCCGTCGCAGCCCGGGGTCTCCCAGGGTCAGTCCCACCTGCCGCAGTCCTCGTACCCCATCGGCCCGGTCTTCGAGTACCCGCCCCTGAACGCCATGATGCCCCCGCAGTTCGCGTCCTTCAGTTACCAGCAGTTCGTCAACAACGGGACGATGATGATCCCCCAGTACTCGATACCCCCGCCGCCGCAGGCAAACCAGATGATGCAGATGCTGTACAATCCGTACAATATGTACCAGCAGCAACAGGTGCCGACGGTGCAGATGCTCTCCCCCGTCACCACAATCCCGACGACGCGGATACGCCCGGTGGTGACGGTGGCCGAGAGCATCTCCAGGAGCATAATGATACCGAGCAGTCAGGAGGGGAAGGCGATCATCCCGGAGATGATGGAGAGCGACGAGAGCATTCTCCCGGACATCGAGCCGCCGGAGACGGCCGAGCGGACGGGGGAGGACCGACAGACGGAGGACAGGGGGCAGCAGACGCTCCCCAGGCGGTCGCCGCACGAGCCCCCGGCGCAGAAGGACGACGAGGAGGACGAGGGGGAGAGCATCGTCCCCGAGATCGAGGAGCCCCGGGACGAGCACGTCCTCCAGCGGCCGGAGTACCCGAAGGAGAGGGAGGAGAGGGCCGAGAAGACGACGGAGGGCCGCGAGGAGCAGCCGAGCGAGAAGGAGGCGCCCTCGCCGGCTGAGGAGGCCGGCAAGAGCCTCAAGATCAACATGCGGGTGGAGATACCCCAGCAGGGGGAGGTGGAGCACCTCGAGCGCTTCCTCATGAACATCATGGAGGCGAATCCGGAGAGGAGCGAGCCCCCGAAGAAGCCGGAGGCGTCGCACGAGCCTCCGGCGGGCGCGGGCGAGGGTTCGCAGGCGGATTCCGGGGGGGCGCTCGCCCTGGAGATTGATTACAAGGCGCTGGAGGCGCCGTACAGGTACAGGAGCAGCCTGAGCGCCCCCGCCTCGCCGATGGGGGAGAAGAAGGCCCAGCAGAGCTTCTCCAGGTCGGAGTTCGGCTCCATTGAGAACCTCAATCTTTATCCCGTTGGGTTCGACGCCGCCGCTCTGCAGGAGCTGGAGGACGACAATCGAGAGGAGGAGGACGAGGAGGAGGAGGGGGACGAGAAGAATGTTCCGGATAACTTCGAGGAGGAGGACATGGAGATCGAGGAGATCGCCAGCCCCCACACGCCCTTCGCCAAGGGGAGCGAGGAGAACAGGTCGCGCACACCCCTGTCGACCATCAGTGGGATATCCGGGCTCAAAGTGAGGACTGACCTGAGTAAGCCGGGGTCCCCTGCCTCGGTGCAGTCCTTCAGGGGACTCAATGGCGAGAGCGACGACGAGGGCGAGGACCATCAGAAGAACCCCCTCGACTGCTCCCAGGGGGAGGCCGAGGACGCCGGCAGGAGGTTCGACCCTGGGTGCCATCAGTCCGTCATCACTGAGCACGTCAGCTCATTCCCGGTGCTTTCCAATCAGCAAGGCAGCAGTGAGAGCTTCTCCCCCGCCAGCGGCAAGGGCCAGGGCCAGGATCTCACCGCCATCGAGGGCCTCGACCCCACCACCAGCGACTCCAAGAGCTTTCAGTCCATCGCCAAGACTATCAATCAAATACCAACGACGGAACTGCTGAATATCAATGAGGACGCGCATTCGGGCCCCATGAATGTGTTCGAGTTCGATGGACTGCAGATCCTTGTGCCCAGCACTTTTATCAGCGAGTCCAGTCAGAAGGCGATCAGCGCCACTAGTCAGCAGTCTATGGCCAGCAGCGAGGGCGGTGCGGGGATTGATGAGGAGGTGAAGAGTGTTAATATGAGGGCCGATGAGACTATGCCGCCCAGGGGGGAACTGTCCGAACAGGAGAGCAATGGCTGCACGGAGCATTCTGCTTGGCAGGTGAGAATAACGTTTTTTGCGGGATTTGAGGAGAAGAATTTTGTTGTCTGGTTTTATTCGTGACGGGTTATTCATTATTAGGTCATGATAATTCGGAAAAATTTTTTTTCGTCTCAATTTTTTCATTTTTCTCATTTATTCTATTCATTTCATCGAAACAGGAGGATAGAATTTAATCGAATTCAGGGGTATTCTTCTGTTATTCGCAAAAATATATCGATTTTAAATTTTTTTTAGGAATACATGAAGACCCATTTCAATTACCCGAATGTAATTTCGAATGACTTTTGTTTTGTGTTTGTTTTTTCTATTTAACATAATTCCTCTCCATTCAGTGTTGTAACATGTGAATTAAAAAAAAAATCTATATAATAAGAATAAGAATGGATAAAACGAAATTACCAAATTATGAGGAAAATAAAAATAGAATAGTGTAAACTAATGCAAACAGTTTATTAAACTGAGCTGAACGAAGAGAAAAATACGAGAAGGGAAAAAGGTTTCGGAGGAAGAGTTTCCCCACAACACAAACAAAAATACGAGCACTTCCTTTTACGTAATGACTCCCTCTGAATTCCAGCTGTACGTAGGTCAAGAGTCCTCCCGGATGTCGACGTCGTACGACCTGATGGCTCGTGAATCGTGGGAGGAGTCCGAGGGCTCTGACAACGAGTCCGGAGTTCCCCTCCTGGACAGTCGTTCCCTGGCCACCCACTTTACCTCCTCCCTCTTCCTGGACCGCGACCGCAAGACCCCAACGAAGCGAACCTTCAAGTGCTCCCTCTGCACGGAAGTCTTCGATTGCCCGAAGGAGCGCCGAGTCCACAGTACAACAGTCCACAAGGAGGCAGGCCCCTCGAACAGCAGCAGCAACAGTGGCCCCCTGGAGACCCCAGAAGCTAAAGACATAAAGCTCCTGGAGGGTCGAATGAACGTCTTCGAGGAGATTTTCGTCCCAGGGATTCACGTGCCCACGTACCACCAGTCGCAGCCGCCTCTCCTGCACCAGCTGCAGCCCCCGCAGCAGCCCTCAGACCTCACGAAGCCAGACGGCGACGAGAAGGCCGAGACCCCCACTGGCCTCGAGATCTCCTGCGCCATGTGCTCCCAGAGATTCGCCTCAGAGCGTTCCCTCCAGGTGCACAATCGTCGAGTTCACGGTACAGAAGTGGCTAAACGCCTGCACGACATCTCCAAATGCCAAATCTGCAACGAGGAGTTCCCCTCAGTCGTCCAGTTCAATGCCCACCTGAAGATCCACCCCCTGGAGTGCTCGCAGTGTGGCAAGTACTTCTACAGAAAGCAAAACTTCAAACTCCACATGAAACGACACCTGGGGATCAAGCCCTTCCCCTGCACAGTGTGTGACAAGGCCTTCTTGACGAAGCAGAAACTCGACGAGCACATGAATGGCCACACTGGGAATGCCCCCGTCAAGTGCAATCTGTGCAACGAGACCTTCAGGAGGTACTCCAACCTCACTCAGCACAAGAATCGCCATCATCTCAACATTAAGAGAAAGCTCAAGGACTATATCTGCCACTGCGGTGAGGTGTTTCACACGAAGAAGAAGCTCGCCTGGCACAAGGAGACCCACGACGAGAAGCCCAAGGCCTGCACCTACTGCAACGAGAGGTTCATACACATGGCCAGCCTGACCAGACACATGAGGAGGGCCCACAACAGGCGATTCGTACCAGATGCTCAGAGGGAGAATGAGAATGTCGAGTGTCCCATATGTAAGTGCATTTATCTCAGATCGTCGTTGTCTGTTCACATGAGGGTTCACAATGGCGAGCGACCTTACGAGTGCCAAGTATGCTCCAAAGCATTTAGCACTAAGTGGAACTTACAGTTGCACAAGTGGACCCATGCTGCCAGAAGTACTAAACCGTATAAGTGTAATCAGTGTAGCGCTGCTTTCTACAGGCACAGTGACTATACTGCTCACATGAATTCACATAGGAATGTTAGACCGTATACTTGTAATTACTGTGGGGCACAGTTCATTAGGAAGTATAATTGCTTGAGACATGTCAAGGAGCATGAGGAGAATAAACAGTATACTTGTGATGTTTGTAATAAGACTTTTCACAGGTCTTATTATCTTAAGGAACATTTGAGGGTTCACAGTGGGGCGAGACCTTATACTTGTCATATTTGCGGGAAGAGCAGTAGTACGAAGAGCAATCACAATAAACATGTCAGGATTCATCATGCTAGGGAACCGGTTAATACGGAAAATTGAAGAGGGAAGATTGATGATTTTTTTGTTTTGCACAGTTTTTTGTTCTGATGAATTATGAAGGATTAATTTGCTGGGGACAGGGATGCATTGTTAGCTTTTCATGATTTTTTAGAATAAAAAAGGGATTTTTTTTCAGGGATAGGATTGTGTGGATCTGTTCTGAAAGTCTATATTTTTTATTTTAGTCTCTTTCAAAAATGACTCTTGCATTTTTTATTGTGGTGAGTAATAAAAAATTAAGGACTTCATGAATCTTTAGTTTTTCATTATTTTTCATGATTAAAAAAACGTACTTTTGACTCAATTGGATTAAAAGGGGGTGAATGGGTTTTGAGAGGATTGTGGGAGTTGGATTGTCTTCTGAAGACATCCGTGATGATTTAAAAACATTAAATGTTGGGAGTTAGTAACGAGGAAGTAATTTGAGTGAGTTTAGTTGAATTTCAGATTTTTGCTTGGTTTTTGGAATGTCTTGTTGGAAGGGAATTGTGGAAATAGAGGCGAGTGTTGAGGGAGAGTTAACAGGAAAGTATTAAGACGTCTTCATGTTGATTATGTTGTTTTACCACTCCACCACTAAGTGATGATCCATTATCAGAGGAACTGTAGGTTCGCAATTATTATTTGAGATGAATTGTTTGTTTGTTTGTTTCTTCGTTCAGTTGAGATTCTTTTCTGCGGATTCTGGGGTGAGGGGTGAAGGAGATGTTTTATCGAAAAATGTCAAAAGAGAGTTTTTGTGGAGAATTTAATGGGCTACATTAAATGCCTCTTGACATTTTTCGATGAATCCAAAAGTATTCGAGATATCGACGAAATAAGAGCTGTCCAAATCTCACGATTATCTCCTTGTTTCTCCACAACTGAATAAATGTTGTTTTTAATTAGTGAAATTTTGTTGACTCGATGCTTGATGAATGAAACTCGTCCATCGATCGTGACTTAGATAAATTAGCTAATGTAAATTGATAGAATGGACACAAGTGAAATATTCTGTTGTGGTTTAAGATCCAGTGACTTGGGACCCTAACTACTTAAGGATCCTAATTAATAAGTAATTAATGATACCCAGGAATCAACAAGTTAATCGAATTCCAACTGCTGACTGGTGAGAAAAAATTGAACATTTTGTGTTGACAAAACACGAAGAGCGTATAAACACGTGAATTAAAACGAAGTAATCATAAGGAAACATGGAAAAACGTTTGCCAACTAATAGTAAAATAATTTAATACATAAAGGATAATTAATCGATACTATAGAGGGGAAGAATAACTACTACATAACATTAATGAAGTCCTTTACGTGTCAGTCGTTGTAAGTGGGGTATTTCTTTTTACTGTTTTACAAATTGGAAAAAAAAATTACATTGTGGTAAGGACAATTGTTATTGTCAATCGGTGTTCGAGTGTAATGTGTGTGAACAGGAGCTAAACTGTTTCATTGAATAGTTATTGAGAAGGGAAATGGTAAAACGTAATGAATGAACAAGTCAATCTATACTATTTCTGCCAACAGAACACATATTGAATTATCTTGAATGTGAAGGGAATTTTTTTGCTGAAAATTTAATTCTCTGCAAAGTCTGATTTATTTTTGTCGAAATAATGATAAAAATTGTTCAAAATAATTCGGATTATTTTGCCAACATCGCTGAGGGAAAACCTGAGCTAAAAATATGAAAAATAATTCACAAACGATAACGTTTTACCCATTTCCACCAGGACTCAACACTTCTAATATAACAAAAACAAGACAATTACAATAGCCAATCGCTATTACCTTAGTTGTTATTCTTCTATATTTATATATTTTGCAATGCATAAGGTGATCAACTATTGGTAAAATTAATTCCAATACTAAGACTGATCGATGTTGGTTCTTCGTACTGCTCTCTGCAAGAAATCATCAATTGAATTTTCAATCATTTGCAAAATGATTGAATCAGTTAATATTATTTTAATCCCACTGTTCATGAATTCATCAATTGCATCAGTAATCGATTGTAATCCAATTTATTCGATTTTTAATCGTCAAGTTATTAATTAATCACTACTTTAAGTGAAGGATTTATTGATCGAGGGGTGAGGGGTATATCTGTTGAATCGTGAATATGATTGGAGGACTGGAGAATTACTATGGGTCCAATTTTTCATTCATATTCTGAATTATTGATAGGTAGTTAGATACGAATCAATTTCTTCGAAGCTGTACCAAAACAATAAACGAGTTAAGTTGATTATCCTGGGGGTGGGGAAGGGCGAGGATTTCATTTCTGAAGGGAGCAGTATGAGACACATTAGACTGCCTGAGACATTTTAGGAGTGAGGAATGAATTCAGTAGAGAGATTCCGCGAAATTATCGAGGTGTAATTTTTTATTTGTTGATTATCTCGGTGATTATGGGGTTTGGGGAGAACAGGGAGAGGGATTTTTTTTTCTGGCGATGAGAAAAATCTTCTGATGTTGGAGATTGAGGAAAAATTTGTGGCAGAAAAAAATTAATTTTTTTCAATCACTTTTGATTAATTGATAATTAATGGTTAATTGACGATTGATGTCAATCGTGTCATCATTTCTCTACTGAATTATGAGAATTGTCAGCATAATATTATGAAAACGAAATTGGTATTCCCCACGAGAGATATTTGAAAAGTTATTGCTGGTTTTATTATTTTGCCTGCAGTTTGGAAAATCTACCAGACAATTACGCAATTAAAACAATCACGAAAAATTGATGTTAATTATCGAGAAACCAGCATCGATGTCCAAATGTGCAATTTGTGTTGATTATTAGGATCAATTGTGAATAACAATTAGGATGAAAAAACTTCATGTGGACAGAGTGTGAAAAGTGGGAGAAAAATCCTTGGGAATAACAAAAATGTTTATTCATAATTCATGAATGAGATAATGAAGGTAATTATTGTACATAATGTAAATATGTATATCACTTCTATTTTATAATAGGGCCAATGCGAGTAAATAATATTGAAAATTAAACAGAATAATAACGATAGGTAAAGAGGGAATTAAGATTTCGAGGAGAATTTCGATTACGTGATAAGGAAAACAAATTGATAAGATTCTTACTATGATTGAAGGATAAAGATAGGATAATTAATTAATGATAAATGAAAAAGAAAACGTTAATAAAGACAAAATGCGCATACTACATGATCCTTAAAACACGTGTATACCTTAATAAAGTTATGTATTGAGGTACTTTTTAATGAAAAAAAAAACATGTTTCTTTATTTTTTTAATTGTGGTTCTTCTCTTTATTTTTATCGTCAGTTGGCGTCACTTTTTTTTGAGGGAGGGAGGTTTTCTTTCTTTCGTCGCCTCATTTTTGTTTCAATGTTGTAATGTTGTACCACGTGTGTACATTAAAGATGAAGAGTATGTTGTACATATATACATTGTCAATTTTTGCATTTGTGTTTTTATTTATAGTCCTGTCGTCCGTTGGTGGGCTTTGAGGGTTCAGGTCTTGATTTTATTCTTGTTGTTCTGTCTTTTTTTTCTTGAGTTAAAGAAAAAACTCCGTAAATTAGAGAGTAAAAAATTTAATTTATAAAGAATACATGATTTTCCTGTTTTACAATCCTAGAAATCAGTCGTTCATATCCTAGCTATCCACCAATAAATCCATTCAAATCATTCAATATGATAAAAATTGAACGACCAATATCATCAGTCTATATTCTAAATTCATTAAAATAAATCTGAAGCATAAAAAATCTTCATCTTAATATTATCAATTCTTTAAAAGCACTGAAACCCATCAATTCACAAAAAGCGTGTAAAAAATCTGATCGAATTAGTAATGAGAGACAATATTTACAATTAATGATCAATAATTTAAAAAATCCATCTGATGGAATGAAATAATTTAGCAAAAACTAACAGAAGTGTATTAAAAAATCTGATGGAATTATTAATGAGAGAATATTTACAATCAACAATGAATAATTAAAAAAATCCATGTAATGGAATGAACTAATTTGGCACAATTCAATAGAATCTTTAAAAAATTTCAAGACCCCTAAACCCCTTGATACTCTTCAAGATTTCCCCAGGCGGTCCCCACCTTGACCCTCACCGGTAGTGGAACCTTAAGTCCCACCCCAGCCACGCCTTCCATCCCCTCCCTGATGATCCTGACGACCCTTCCCAGGTCCCTCTGACTGACCTCATAAATAAGTTCATCATGGAGCTGCAGCACCAGGAAGCCCCCCTTCGGCCCGCCGTCCCTGCTGCTCCTGAGTTTCCTCCTGACAGGCATCTGAGGCATGACGAATCCGCCCTCGAACTCCCTGGCCATCCTGGCATCGACGTCCACCATGGCCTTCTTCGCGAGATCCGCCGCAGACCCCTGGACCTTGGTGTTGACCGCCTGCCTCTCGGCCTGTCCCCTCTCCCCAGGAGCATCACTCCTCAGCGCTGGAAGGGCTCTCCTCCTCCCCATCAGCGTCTCCACGAAGCCATCCCTCCTGGCCTCCTCCACCACCTCAGCGAGCCACGCCCTGACGCCAGGATAACTCCTCATGAAGGTCTCCACGAAGACCTTCGCCTCAGCCTCGTCGACCTGGAGAGTCTCTGCGAGGCTCCTCGTCCCCATCCCATAGATCATGCCATAGCACAGCTGCTTGGTCCTCTGCCTCATCCCGTCGTCGACCTTCGCCTCGTCCTCGTTGTACCACCTGGCAGCGATGTTCCTGAAGACATCCCCAGGCTTCCTCAGGACCTCCAGGAGCTTCTTCTCCCCGGAGAAGTGCGCGAGGATCCTGAGCTCCAGCTGGCAGTAGTCAGCCGAGACAATGACGTTCCCCACGTTCGAGACGAACGCCATCCTGACGCTGACGACGAAGCTGCTGTCGGCGGAGTCGAAGTCCCTGGGGACGTTCTGGAGGTTCGGCTCGTGCATGGAGACCCTCCCGGTCGCCGTGTGGGTCACGCAGGTCCCGTGGATCCTCGAGGACTTCTCAGCGAGGTTCAACAGGGGACAGATCATCTTGCTGTGCGTGGAGGAGAGCTTCCTCCAGGTGGCCACCAGTTTGGCAATTGGGTGGGCCGAGGCCTCGAGAACTGCCTTATTGGTGCAGACCTTCTTCGTGGTGTCCATCCCCAGGACTCCAGCGACACTCTTCGACGAGGAGAAGTTGAATTTTTTCCCTACTAGAGCGTAAGCTTTGGACTCTATCGAGGAGAGCTCGTCCTGGATCACTGAGGAGAGCTCCTGGAGGGCCTGGAGGTTCACTCCGAGGCCTGTGAGCTCCATTCTCGACAGTAAAACCACCGTCGGCATCTCCAGCTCTTGAAACGTCCTCGGGAGTCTCGTGGAAATTTTCTCCAGTTTTTTCGAGAGCCCCTGCTGCATCCAGAAGGTGAGGAGAGCTTCTGTGGAGGCTCTGAGGTCACTGGGGGTCGAGCTCTTGACGTTCAAACCCGGCCCTGAGGGCCCTGACAACGGCCCCAGTCGGTGGAGGAGACCCAGGCCCTCCGGCAGGTGCTCGTGAACCAAATTGGTGAAGGTCTTCTCAGGGGAGTCTGGGTTCAGCAGCCAATCCGCCACCCGAGGGTCCAGAAACCTGCAGGAGGGGGCGATCCCACAGCACCTGAAGAGCGTCCTGTAAGTCTCCTTCGTCGAGAAGCACCTGACGACGAGTCTCGAGCCCAGCAGTTCAGTCAAGAGCGCCATCCGCTCCTTCATGGGGACTCTGTTGGCCTCCGAGTTCTCGAACGAGAGGAAGTACACGGATTTCCCCCAGGACATCGCCACCCCGCAGAGGCGTTTGTCGTTGTGAACGCAGGTCTCAACTCTTCTCGAGCGTTTCCCCGGCTCCTGGAGGCTCGACGCCCCGATTATCTTCGTCCCAATCGTAATCGTGTCCTTCAGGTACGTCTCGCAGGCCAGCGCCACCGAGATCTCGGACTTGGAGGCCAGTTTCTCCTTGAATTCACTGAATTTCGCCTTCTCCCTGATGTTGACGATCTCGAGGTCCTCGAAGTCCGGCCTCTTCAGCTTCTCCCGCACCTTCTGATCCTTCTGGGTCTTGAGAACAGTCTTCGCTCTTGATGGGTTCATCTTCCTCTGGGTTTCGTCGTCGGAGTTCACGATTATGCTCTCGGTGCTGCAGTCCTCGCAGACAAAAGTCTTCAGGTCGGCTATCGGCTGACGAACCAACACCTTCGGGATCGTCGCCTGGGTCTTCGTGGCCGTCCTCTGGGTCCTGATCCTCATGGACTCCAGCTTCATCCTGGTTCTCGTCCTCATGGCGCTCCCCGTTCTGTCTGCGCTCTGGGAGGCGACGATTATGTCGTCCTCAGACCTGTTGGACCCCGTCGACAGCCCCCCAGGACTGCTGTAGGATATCACGTTGATGATCGGGGACTTTTCCACCCCTGGACTCCTCAATTTCCTCTTCGAGGTCTTCTTCACCTTCTCCAGGCTCGACTTCCCCTTGGAGACGAGCTTACCCTTCTGCGATTTCGGTGGAGTCCTCAGTTTCTTCAGCCTCTCGAGGACTGCGTTCGTGTTGTTCCAGGAGTCCTCGTCCCAGACCAGGGACTTACTGCGGTTCTCTTCAGCAACTGACGCTGGACGGGACTGCGGCGCCTCTGGCCTCACGAATTCGTCGGTCCGATTGTTAGATCGATTCCCCGATGTTCCTGGGAGGTTGAAGGACGACAGCTCCACCTCCGAGAAGACGGAGTTGTCGAGGTCGATGACGTTCTGCTCCAGGATGCCGTATTCCTCGGTGTCGAGGCCTAAACTGTCGCCGAAGAGACTTGGGCTCCTGGATGTTGAGGATTTGGCCAGGGACGTCCTCAGCAAGGAAGCCCTGGGGGTCTTCGATGGCTCCACTGGGGGTCTCGATGATTCTGCTGAGACTTCAACTAATTTCTCATCATCTGTAGTTTTTTTTATGGAAATAACCCCCCCAGGACTCTGAACATCGTTTTTCTCAGGCTCTCGAACATCGTTTCCACCGGCTTCAGCACGCCCGGGAAGTCCCGCAGTCCTATTCCCCTCAGAGACGTCCCCCCTCCCATTAAAACCCCTTTCAGACGAGCTCAGGCTCTCCAGCCCCGAGCCCACCCTCACCACGACGTCCCCATCGTCAATGGTGCACAGCGAGCCAGAAGAGCTCTGCACTCCACTCCCAGACCCACTCCTCTTCCCCCAGTGGACGTCCTCCACCCCCAGCTCATGCTGCACCATCACCCTGGCCTCCTTCACGATGAGGACGGCAGCCTCCCGAGGGGTCAGCCCGTCCCTCCCCGTCACGAAGATGGTCCTCATCTGCCTCCTCCTCTCGGCGTCGACGCCGTCCTCCCCCAGCTGATCCCTCTCGCTCTCGAAGGGCAGGGCCTTGTGCAGCGCCCTCTCGACGTCCAGCTCATCAGCAGCCGCCAGCTCCGCAACCGTGGTGATCCCCTCCTTGAAGAGGCTCCTGGCCCTCAGTCCATTCAGCGACGGCAGCCTCAGGAGGTCCAGCAGTTCCCTGCAGACGCCGAACTGCAGTCGCGCCTGGAACTGCGACACCAGGAGTTCCACGCAGTTCCAACCGAGTTTCTTGCAGAACTGCGTCACCATCCCCGCGAAGGTCGCAGCCGTCTGCTGGAGGCTCTGGATGACCCCTCGACAGCACGAGTACTTCCTGCAGACGGCGTTCAGGGGGACCTCCCGCACGAGGTCGTGGAGGGCGAGGGCCGTGTAGAAGCGCTTGTGCACGTCCAGAGTCTTTCCCTGCCTGACATTCCCCGTCGTCGCCCTCAGGATGAAGGTCTCACTCACCCCCACCAGCTGTCCAACGCGTCTCTCACTGTCCGAGATGTCCCTCCAGATGTTCAGGAAGATGTACCAGTCGATCTGGCCGATGAGACTGCTGGAGTTGATGGGCGTCACGAGGTAGATCACGTGGAGTTCGGTGTCCAGGACGAAGCACTTCCTCGCTTTCTGCAGCTCCTCGAAGAGGAAGAGGCCATCCTTCGGGGGGACTGAAGCCGCCAGGCAGGCCTTGCCGAGCTGCGTCGCCACCCACCGTCGATCCCCGGACTTGGAGATCTGGGGGAGGAGCAGCTCGTTCTCCACGAGGAAGTCGACAGCGGACTTCGTGGAGGTCTCCACCTCCTCGGGGAGTTTTGTGAAGCTCAGCAAGGTGCACCTGGTGTACAGGAGGATGTCGTCGAGGGTGTAGGCCACCTCGGACGCCACTGCCTCCAGGAGGCTGCGGACCAGGGGCCCCGGTCCCTGCAGGCAGGACTCGATGGGCTGAAGGGAGGACTTCAAGAGGTTCTTCAGCGCCGGCTGCTCGTTCGGCTTGCAGATGAGGATGCTCTCGCCCGCTGTGTCCTTTCCCATTCTCCCGGCGCGGCCGATCATCTGTTTGTATGTTAAGGTGTCGATTGGGCGCCCGTGGAACATTATCGTCCGGATGATGACGCGCCGCGCTGGGAGGTTCACGCCGCTGCTCAAGGTCGACGTCGCTGTGAGGATCCGCAGGGCGCCGGAGCGGAAGGCCCCCTCGATGACGTCGCGCTCGTCCAGGGTCAGCCCTGCGTGGTGGTACGCCACGCCGAAGGAGACCGTCGACCTCAGAACTCCGTCGAGGCCGCAGGGGGAGCGTTTCAGCTGCTCCAGGGTGTCCATGATCGCCTCGGTGTTCAGTTGGGAGCGCAAGCTCCGGCCGACCGCAGTGTCCGCTCGCCCCAGGTGGGAGAACGAGCTGGAGATCTGACGCGCCAGAGTCTCGCACCAGTTCTTCGTGGGGCAGAAGATCAGGACGCTGTGGCCGTCCGCCAACGTCTCCAAGCAGAGGGCGATTATGTCGTCGGGGTCTTGGGGGAGGTCGGCGCGCGGGGTCAGGGATTTTTGGGGGGCCAGGCGGTCGTCGTAGAGGGTGACGCCTATCTTGCAGAGCTCCTTCAACGGCACCGGACGGAAGTCCGTCTTGAAGAGCTCCGCGTCCAGCCATTTGGCCAGGACGTCGAGGTTGGGGAGCGTCGCGGACATACCTATCAGCTGGATCTGCACGTTTTCTTCCTTCAGGGACATGTACTTGAGTTTAGTCAGGAGGAGCTCCAGGAGGTAGCCTCGGAAGGGGTCCCCCAGGAGGTGCAGCTCGTCTATGACGACTGCTCCGAGGTCCACGAGCCCTCCCGCCTCCATCATCTGGTTGATCAGGGAATTCGCTTTCTCGATCGTTGCTATCGCAACGTCGGTGGAGGAGAACCCCCCCGGGGGCTGGACTCCTCCCATGAATCCCTCCACGCGCACCCCGGAGTCTGATAGGAGGTCCTGGAAGGGGGGTAAAATTGTAGGCGTTTTTTACTTGCGACAAATCACGGGAAAAATACAATTACGAAGATTGCAATTTGTCGAGGTGGTTGCAGTGTTTGCAAATTCTCATTCTCATTTTCACAAAGATTTGTATTCTCTCTTGGATCCAGGGGGTCAGATCTTGGATTCTGTCAGAGGAAAAGTCGACTTTCGCCAAAATCGAATTTTTTCGTCAAGTGAATGTTGATTCTGCATTCATTCACCCCTCAGATGCCAATGAAACTCTCAGAGACATTACTCAAAACTTGAAATGAAATTGAAAATGAGAATTCTCAGGGTCAGTGCCCGGTACCTCAAGGGTAAACCTGCGGTAAAACGACCGATAAATTTTTGTCCCTACCTGGAAGTAGTACATCTTCTCGCGGACCACCGAGACGAACGGCAGGATGAAGATGACCTTCTTGCGGCGCTCGATGACGGTTTTGATGACGAGGATTTCGGAGACGAGGGTCTTGCCGGCGGAGGTCGGGGCGGAGTAGACGAGGTTCTTGGAGTTGCTGAGGATGTTGGGGGTGGAGAGACAAGCTACTTGCCAGGGAAACATGGACTGGAGGCCCCTCGAGTGGTACTTCAGGAGGATTGTTAGCGGAAGACCCCAGGAGGACAGCTTCAGGCGGTCCTGGGAAGACACCAGCGAGGGCGAAGGGATCGACGAAGGGTTCAAGGATTCTGACCTCGAGGACGATGGCGAGGGGTTTTCGAGGTTCTGGGGAACATTCCGACCGGAAGCCGAGGGTTTTGAAGGCCCTTGGGATGACGATGACGAGGGGGAGTGAATTCTCGAGGCCCTGAGCAAGTTTTTCCCTGGAGATGATCCTGAGGATGATGGAGGAGGGTTTTGGAGAGGTTGAAAATTTTCCTGAGGTTCTGCAGGAGATGATGAATGGGAAACAATACTCGGGTTTTTGGGATTCTTCGAGGACGACGAGGGCTTCTGGGGGACCGTGAGGTCACCTTGACGTCTAGAAGACGATGAAGACGACGACTCAGGTTTGATACCAGGATTTTTGGGTTTTTTTGGAGCATCTCCTCGTGAAGATGAGGCCGAGGGTTTATGAAGGGCCTGGAGATGCTCCTGACGTCTAGCAGACGACGATTTTGAGAGATCTGGGGATGACCCTGAGGGAATCGTTGGGTTTTTCTGAAGATTTCTTGCACGAAGGGGGAATTTTGGATTTTTCAGGATTGTTAATGTCTTGCTGGGGGTTCTAGAGGTGAGGGGTTGTCCCTCCTGCCTCGATGATGAGGGATTGGAAATTTGGAGGTCGGCCTCACCCTGGGGTTCATCTCGTGAAGGTATTGCAGGCTTTTGTGGGGATGACGAGGTGTTAATGACGTTGTTGGATGCTTCGATAGATGGGGAGGGGTTTCTCGAGGTTTTCTTTCGTTTTGAGGACCTGGGGGGCGTCAGGGGGGGCTTCTGCGTGCACTGGGTGTACCTGGAGCGCGAGAGGACGAGGCTCTCGTTGAAATAAGCTTCCAAGGATGTGTTTTCTTTGGATTTTGAGGCCTGGGGGGTGGGTTTGGAGGTTCTGGAGGGTTGGGGGAGGTTCGGGGAGGCCTCCTTCAGGGGCTCTCTCGAGGATTGCGAGGGAAGGAAGTCGTCTGACTGAATCAGCGCCGCCAGGGTGCTGTCACCCAGCGTCAGCATCGCTGCCCTGATTTTTTCCGCATGGAGTTCTCAATTTTTTTTTATTCTGAGGGAAAAAACAACGGATTTTAAATGATTTTTGACTTTAATTGTGAGGGGTTTAAGTCATGCTTTGGAGGGGTTCACTCACCTGTTCTTATTCTTGGTTAGGACCGACTGTTTTGGTTCTACAGGTTTTTCGGAGTATTTAAAGGGACGCGGCGCATGCGCGAGAGGGGACTCCAAAAATTGGAGATTCTGCTTGATTCAGGGATTTTAAATTTTCCGGAATAGTTTACGCGAGAGTTTAGAAGAAATTCTAGAATTATTTTTTTAGAAATTTGTAGGATTCAAAAAATGGCTTTTGACATTTTTAAAAATCGATTTAGTGCTTCTACTGTAATTTGAGGGATTTAAAAAACTCTTGTCCATGACAAAAAATCTCCTCCAATTCTCCTCTAAATTTACTAGATGTTTTGGAAATAACCCAATGATTTAATTAATTAATTAATTAATTAACACAAGATCAATGTTAATTTTTTTTTCATTTTTTTCGTTTATTTTACATGATACAAATCGAATAGAAATTACTGTGGAGCCTTGCCACGTCCGAATCCACCACGGAATTCGAGATCCCCTGTACCAGGGCCGATATCAGCCTTCTTGTCTCCAGGAGCTGGTGGACCACCTGGGCCACGCCTGTATCCAGCACGATCCTCAGTCGGTCTCGATTCGCTTTTGCCACCTGCAGCTGGCCTCGGCCTCGCCGTTTCAGGTCGCGGCTGTCTCTTCAGGGTCGATGGGACAATCTCAGGGGGAAGGTGGAGGTACCCACGGAGGTACTCGATACCCTCGTTCGTGAGGTACCAGTAGTAGTGGCGCCAGGCGAACTGCTCCTTCACGTGACCTCTGGATTTCAGGGACTGAAGACGAAAAATTTAATTGAACAAAACGTCTAGTTAAAGTTTTCCAAAAATACGAGAATAAATGAACCATTTGTGGAATTTTCTGGGGAAGTAACAACTCTAGAAGAAAATATCAAGAGCATTTCCCGTTTAGGGGAGAAAATTCTCTAACAAAAAAGTCTTAGAATAATTGTTTTCTAATCACAATTGGAATTCCATCATTTCCTCGAAATTCGCATTCATAAGAATTCACTCATCAATTCCAGAAATATATGATCAGTCATTGGTTTTAGAGAAAAAATATTAATACATCTCAAGATAATCAACAGAAATTTAGTAACACTGCCAAATATTTCGAAATTCTCAAGAGAAAATCACTCATTAACGTCCAGAAGATCTCACCCCCCACTAGTTTTTAAAATTTCCAATGAAAAAATCTCATTATTTTTTTTTTATGAAAAAAACTCACCTGCATAGCCTTGATGACCTGGAGGTTGGGGATGGTCTCCAGCTCAGGGTGTTTTGGTGCATGAAAGTCCTTCTTAGCCACCATGACTCCCTCCTTGAAGAGGTACTCGTAGATAGCAACACGATTCTTCTTGGGCATCAACATCTGCAGACAAGTAAGATCAATTACCACTTTGGCTCCAATTACCTGCACTTTTAGGTTAACTCATGTGTTTCCCTCTCAGCGAACCCTCCGGCACTCCCCAAACCCCAACTATTGCTCCATCAATCATCGAGCAACAATTGTTAAAGCAATTTCCAACTGAACAAATCATTTGTTTACTGCAAATCAACGCAGAATGGACAATCAGGTGATTTTCGAGGTTAGTCGACGTCAAATTTTTGACAGCCCCCAAACCCAAAAGTTCACGTGAACCACCAAAAATACTCGAGGAACAATTAGAGTTATTAACAGAGAATCCAGCGAAATTCTTACTTTGCCTCTGTTATTGAGGATGCACGAGATTAAAGACGATTTTCGGCGGAATCCAGGGCGACAGAACGCTCCTCGATTGGCGTTTTTATCGGAAAGGGATATTTACCCTCGGAGCAAGAATTATGAGAGACGACAACGGTTAAAATTTTTTTTTTCGTCCGTTCGGCAACTGGAGGTAGCGCTCCAGTTGATAAAATCGACCCCTGAATTGTCGTGCGCCAATAATTAATAATCTAATTGTTTAAATTGTTTTAATTTAATCTCAATTCGTTATCGTCGATATTCAAGCCAATCTTCATAAATTGATATTAATTTCCCTAAATAAATAAATTCATCAATCTTTTATTAAATTTTATTCTCAAAACGAAATGAACAACGCAATTCCTATTATGAGACTGAATAATTTTCCATTTATTTCATTTTATGAAACTCATTATTGAAACATTAGTTTAACAATTAATACAGCTGATTTTTTCATTTTAAATAATCATGAATTGCGTCGCCACTCCCCCAATCCGAATCCACCAATCACCGACGTCGATTGCTCATGGCGGTCGAGGCTTGAGTGCGACGAGTGTTTTCTCCGAAATAAGCGACTGGAAATCCACCGATTTAGTCGTTTATCAGTCTTAAAAATCGTCAAATAGCTGCAGTTCACTGGAATCCCCGCACGTGAGTCTTAATTCTTTAATTCTAAAAATCAATCCCCTGGGAATTGAATTTAGTCATTGTTTACGAATCGTCGACGTGAACTCTTTGTCTGTTCTGTTCTGTTGTCATCGCCGGTATGCACATGTTTACGTTTTTCCATTCTTCGAAACCTCTCGAGTATCAGATTCCCAATGAGTAATATTTTAGAGACAATCGAGTGGAATTATTTGTGCAGCACGAGAGACCGAATTAACTCATCACTTACTCTAATATTCTTATTCATTCTCTCAATAATCTCCCGAAGCCCGAAGACATTCCATTCGTTTTCATGAATTATTACCATTAATATTATTATGAGAGAATATATGGTTGGAATGAAGGGATAGCGTGTGCATTTGTATAAAAGGAGTTACATTTGTCGGAATTTTTGTTCGGATTGTTCTTGGACAAAGGAAAGAGTGCAAGAGCTATAAAAAAAACTGTTTACCTTTTTTTTCGATTCTCCGAGCTCTGATATCCGAGACCGACTCTTACGTCAACGGCATCCTCTGCGTCGCATGGCAGTTCCATTAAAAAACACGACAATGTGATTTTAAAAAATTTGACATGAACGAATGTATCAAAAAATCATTTAAAAAATTGTAATAATTTTTTTCATGTTTTATTGCCAGTAATAATCGATTGAGATAAAATGGATAATCCTGATGATAACACAGGTGAGAGTAATTTCATCAATTTGCAATGATTTATTATGAGGATCAATCAATTAATTTTTTTTATAAACAAATTTATTTAATTTATTCATCGAATTATTTGCAGAAAATCTGGTACCCCTCAAAGCGAATTATTTCAAGATCCTTTGCGATCCGGACTGGGATTTGTATCGGTATCGAGTGAGATTCGAGCCGGAGGAGGACAATTACGAGCGCCAGAAGGCTCTCATCGAGCAGCATCGTAATGTCATTGGGTCGTATATCCTGGATGGGGCATTTCTCTTCTGCACACAAAAGCCCCCCCTGGAGTTCCCTCCAGACGAGGAGCCCCAGATCACAGCCGAATATTTAGGCGACATGAAGCCTCGAGATCATCGTTACGTGCAGATGTACAATCTCCTGGCGAGGAGGGCCCTCGAGGCTATGGATTTCCGAATGGTTGGCAGGGATTTCTACGACGTCAATACACCAGAGGCCAAGGTTAACATCGAGGACTACGCCCTGGAGGTGTGGACAGGCTACCAGATTGCTGTGCAGCATTACGACGATGGAGTCATGATGTGCGTCGATGTTTCCCACAAAGTCATAGCTCAACTCTCGATATTCGATCTTCTCGAACAGGTTCAAATTAATTTCAATCGTTTATTTAATCTTTTATTATTGACTTCAAAATAGAAAGAGAGACAGCAAAATAACAAAAAATCTCTGGGCGGTTGTATCCCTGATACAACCGTTATGTTTTACGTGAATACGAATAGGTTTTAAGGCTCTATCTCTCATAGTTTCCGAGATAATCGCGAAAAACCAAAGTGCCAAAAAAAATTAATTTAATTCATCTTGTATAAGGCCTAGGAAGTGGAAAAACGCAATTCTGAGTCGTGCACTTGCCTACAGGGGACCCAAATTCGGTTTTAAGGCTCTATCTCTCATAGTTTCCGAGATAATCGCGAAAAACGAAAATGACAAAAAAAATTAATTAAATTCATCTTGTATAATTCCTAGGAAGTGGAAAAACGCAATTCTGCGCCGTCCATCTGCCTATACGGAACCCAAATTTCCTCAGGAATCGAATGGAATAGGTTTTAAGGCTCTATCTC